GAGGTGGGAGGGTCTGGGAGGTAGGGTCTGCTGGAGATTGGCCAGGATGTGTCAGCTGACCGGAGCTCGCCGCAAACGGTTCGTGGCGAGCCGTTCGCGGGAAGTTCGCGAACGGTTCGCGACATCTCTATCAGGGATTAGTTTTTTTTCAGGTCCTCTCACCTGGCACACACCTGGTTACAACCCCCTGACTTTCAAGCAGACAACCAGTCCTGTTACTTCCTGGTAGTTAAGCTCAGTGGAGCAAAACTCAAGAGGCGGCAATTTCCCAGAGCACCTTCCTTGCAAAGATATCTCATTGAGCTGCATTGGAAAGTTTGTGATTGGACAGCCTCAGAATGTCTGTGTGGGGTTAGAAGGGGAGGACTTGCAAAGGCTGCATAGAAGAGATCTGCAGCATTTGCAAACTCTTTTTCGATCTACTCCAATGACAAAATGCATAATTAAATACATGCATGGTTTCTGTGTGGTTATATCTACTAAATTGTGAATTTGTTTTAAAAAAATAAATATATATATATATATATATTGGAGTGTTACTCAATACAGCCATAAGTATGTATTTTTTACAGTCATTTTAAAAATTATGCCTGGCAACTGTAGGGTTTATTCAATCTGTTAACTGAACAAAATTTGCTAAATTAAGCTCATAATACTATGATTTCCAGCAAGTCATCGGTTAAACACATGAAATCAACATCAGGAATGGGCTTACTAAAGACAGAATAATCCATCTATCTCATTGTTTGCACTCGATAGTCCTAATGTGTATACTGTGTACTTTGCATACTTCCCTTGTAAATGTGCTTTAAATGCACCTTTAAAAATTAGTATTGATTTGTCCAGACCGCTTCCAAAATCACTTTGCATGCAGTGCACGCACCTGACTGTGCTTTTAATTAGATACCACTCCATAAATAAACAAATAATAGAAGTTAGCAGAGGAGCAGTTGATCTAAATTACGACAGCAGCTCATTTATCTTCGTCCCTAACAAGACAATAGGAAGTGACACCCGGCTATTGTCTCTAACATATGAAGAATTCTGGCTTTAACAATGCAATGCTACGTAGTAGGACCATGTGCCAAATGGTGTCTGCTACTAATTATAGTATTAAAAGGGTTAAACTGCCCTCCCCCCCCTCCAATGTTTAAAGGGACACTCCAGGCACCCAGACCACTTCTGCCCATTGGAGTGGTCTGGGTGCCAACTCCCACTACTCTTAACCCTGCAAGTGTAATTATTGCAGTTTTTTATAAACTGCAATAATTACCTTGCAGGGTTAACTCCACCTCTAGTGGCTGTCTACTAGACAGCCACTAGAGGGCACTTCCTGGTTCCTAGCACAGGAAACTTGTGCTAGAGCATCGCTAGACGTCCTCACGCTGTGTGAGGACCTCCAGCGTCGCTCATTTCCCTATAGGAAAGCATTGGGGAGAAACTGCTATGTTTACACTGAGGGTTAATCCAGCCTCTAAAGCCTCATTGACAGCCGCTAGAGGTGCTTGCGTGCTTCTCACTGTGAAAATCACAGTGAGAAGACACCAGCGTCCATAGGAAAGCATTATGAATGCTTTCCTTTGAGACTGGCTGAATGCGTGCGCAGCTCCTGCCGCACATGCGCATTCAGCCGATGACGTCGCTAGGAAGGAGGAGAGGAGGAGTACAGCTCCCCGCCCAGCGCTGGAGAAAGGTAAGTGTTTAACCCTTTCCTCTCCCCAGAGTATGTTTTCCTGGTGCTATAGTGGTCCTTTAACTTGTCACGTCTCTTTTACAGAAGTAACTTCACAAAATAGTGTCTAGGTCATACATTGGGCATATTGTTTTACTCAGAAGACTTAGCTGAGCATAATTTGGGGGGTTTGAACTCAGTGGTACATATGAAATGTACAAAATGCCCAGCAAAAATGTAATCCGTATGTAAAAAATGCCCAAAATTATTTTTTACCACATACTTTGGCATATATTGGTGAAAAAATGGGGGCATGTTAAGGCACAATATGCACCTTATGAGATACCCTGGAGTGTCTACTTTTACAAATGGTAGGCCTTTGTGGGTTTTTTTTTGAACAGTCAAACTGCTATAATACCCCAAATTGAAGCATAGGCCCATTAAATCCGCCTCTCAAAGTTCTACTGTAAATGTTGAAACGGACAGGTCTCCTATGTGGCACTGTAGCTTCACAAAATAGTGCCAAAGACATACAATGGGGGTATCGTTGTACTCAGCAGAAGTAACTGAACACTAAATAAAACTTTGTACAGGAATAGCACACACCAACTTTACAAAATACACATGAGAAGTTCTTTGTTATAAGTTTGTGTGCCACAAACCCAAAAAACCCCAAATTTTACTCCAATATTTAGCAGAGATTGGCGGTGAAATGGCTATGTAGAAAGTGTCAAAACAACCTTAGGACAATAGCCTGTGATATCTACTTTATATAAATATATAATTTTGTGTGGCAATTTTGTTTTCTTTTATGGCTATTAAGCTTACAAGACAAACATACCAAATTCTAAAATTAAAAGTTTATTTTACTCCTTGTGCTTTGTGACCTGTAACTACCAAAAAAAACTTAAAATCCCAGACACATTATATATTCTGTAAATCAGAACTAAATGAATTTATTTTTAATTACTTTCTTTAACCTGCACTAATTAGGCACACATTATTATTGCAAAGACTGTAGAAAAAAAAACAAAATATTTCTTTTTTTTGCGTTTTTCTGTATTTTTTTTAAGAATAAATAAGCATGTATATATATATATATATATATATATATATATTACATCAAATTAAAAATTAAAATTAAAGCCCTTTCTGTCCTTTAAAAATCAGTATATAATATGTGTCGGTGCAATAAACGAGAGAGATGCAAATTGCAGTTGAACGCATACAGCAAGAAAATGCAAAAATTGCTTGTGTCATTAAGCGTAAGACAAGCTTCTGAAGCTGTGTCCTTAAGGGGTTAAGCAATATTACGTTTACGCCATTTTGACCCAGACAAATTACAATAATGCATAAACAAGCTTCAAGGCTATACTCCGACTCTTTCAGTACGTAATATACTGTGGTAACCTTAGTAGATAAGGATGTTCAGACTTTAAGATGCCATCTTGAACTAAGTCAGGAAAATTTCCATGACGTATGCACCCTTTAGTTATGGCCTTGTATGTTTGCAAAGTTAAGGGAGGTCCTAAAATGAATAAAGTAAAAAAAGTGTTACTTTTTCATATATGAACTATGGTAACCTAAAATGGAGACACCTAAGGTATAAATAGGTGTACTTTTAAATGTTAAGACACAGAGGAGAGACTTGGAGACAGACGCTGCTCCATCTTAAAATGACAGAGAGGCTGACATGATGACATGTTCAGAAGGGTATGTTAACCTATTAATGATATTTGCAAGCATGTAATTTAATCTTATAAACTCTGCTGTAATGGATTTTATATGTCTATATATTTATATTTTTATATAATAAATATCTAAAAGACAAAACTATTGCTTCCAAGACAATACTTATTTTATATTGTATTCTCAATTATTTAGATATGTTAAATAGAGGATCTCTTACACTAACTAAATGAAATTATGGCTAAGATATCTGTATGGTTAGCCCTGCTAAGTTCTATGCTTTAAGACGTTATAATGGTAAATAAGGGAATCAGCCACGGTTACAATTGGCGACCACGAAGGGACGTGTACCTGGAAGCTTTAACTATAAAATAATAAATACCTAGGTAACCTCTTATACGTAAGAGAAGACACAATACTTTGTCATGGCACAAGTCTTGAAATATCAAGAATCTATTGAGCTATTTGTAGCCCAGACTCAGAGAGAGATCTTCATCATGGAGAGATGATTTTAATGTGAACTTGTACAAGGCACTTTAAGTTCAGGTGCCAGGTACATTGTAATTAGCATACAATGCTGAAATTGTGGATCTTAATATCATAAAAGAATAAATATACATATTTGGTAAACTCCCAGCATAGCATGGTCCAGTTCCAGGACAGTGGATTGCAGACAGGGGGATATGTTCTCTTTGTAGCTGCTTAGTATGCATGCGCAGGAAAAAGATTAATGCAAGATGTTGTGAAAAGAAAAGTAATACAGAAGTGACAGACAGTCCACTATATAAGAAAAGTTTTCTAAAACAGTGATAATTTCCATATTGTCAGTTACGCATTGCTGTTGATTGAAAATCTGGAATTATAACAGCATAACTATTTTTGGAGTCCGGAGTTTCCAGCCAAGGTTGCGGAGATACAGAGACATGTAAACATTCCAAGGAATTGAGAAGTTGTTGTTTTATATTCCAAATTATGAACAACATTATTACATACAGCCATAAAGAGAAAGACATGGCTTTTAAATAAATTCAGTGCAGTACAATGCAGTACACTGCAGCATATATTTTATAGAATATATGCTAACTAGCTCATATTTTTTCCTAAACAGAGTTGAAATTATACTACCCTCCTAGAAAAAACGCAACAGGTGGTTATACATCCTTTGCTTCTCTAAATGCTCTGCAAAAATAAATATTTATAAAATGATTACAAATTATATATATGTGAAGGGGGCGGGGCCTGACCGCCAAACTGAACGGTCACATATACCAACAGCTCCTGCAAACCTCCAAACTTTAAGCTTACAAAAGCAGATTTTATGCCTAATTAACAACCTGCAACCGTGGTCTGAAGCACAAGGGAGCACTGGCTCAGAGGAGAGGCTTGCAAACCCTTTGTTTTAGTCCCTCGAGACGATACCAGCCATCCCTACAGGATGAGGCCTACTCGGGCGGTGAGTGGGGTGGACGGCCGTTGCCCCGCTATCCTGCCCGACGGTGTGGTGCTGGACTCCCATGGATGTGCAACCAGGGCCCCTACCCCCTCCTCCCCCCGGGCCGGTGGGGGTGATCCCGGGCCGCACCCGGCAACCCTTACCGCACCAGAGACCCCGCTACTCAAACCACGAGGCCCCACTAAAATGGCGGCAAACACAAACTCACCAAAGCATAAGGGGAATAACGCCATCTTTTCTCCCTTGCTCGCTGAGACCCTTACACGCGCAAGGCGGACACGACATGCCTGCATGAGGCAGCCTGACAGGTGGGATCCCTACGACACACTACTCCAACGCTTGCCGGATCAAAGTGGCTACGATGCCCGAGCTCACACGAGGAGAGACACGCAGAGGGACAGTCGATCGACAGGCACGGCATGTAACCTGCCCACCCTGAACACCACAGAGAGACTCATACACAGGCTCATCCAAGCGCCTGGATCACAGCACATGACACCGCTCCCTACCCAGGATCAAGACCACAGCGCCTCCGAGACTGAGCTACATCTCCTGCAGACAGCCACGCTCAACCCATGGACGGCCACTATTCCTACCCAAGCCACGGCATAGGCTGACGCTGAACTCTCTGACCAAGCCACCCTTCTTCCGACAATTACATGCCTGATTATAGGACTCACAGTATACACGGTTTTATTTCATTTAATTCTTCAAGACTTTTTTTTTTTTAATGCTTTTCGTGGGACGCCATGTATAATACAGCTATGCAGATGACACTACAGACCTTGCTTATCCTGTTGGACTCCTGCTATAACTCTGCTCTCATGTACCTAAGCTTAAGTCTTTTAATGTGTCCCATACACACCTCTACCTACGATCAATATTAGACTAATATCTTGCACACTGCGCAGCGTACCAACCAGTACACTACACTACACTATACTAGCAAGCACTAGGGCGCATCTATTCGCTTCAGACACCCAGGCATGTAACCCCCCCTTTTCTTAATTTTAATTTCTCTTTTTTTTTTTACATTTATTTATTAGCGCACTAAGCTCCTCGCAGTCCTCTCCTAGGTCCGAACATGCAACGGGTTGCCCAATAAGGGCTACTCACTTACTCATGGCCGCATGTTGCCTTTCCTACATACAGGGCAGCACCACCCTAAGCCAGATTTTACTTTAACTGAGTTAAACCGACGCTGCTCACTTCAGCCTATCGTTCTCACACAAAATTTGCAAACGCTCACACTAATTTCTAGTCTGCGCATTATAGAACAGTCTGAAATCTTACGCTTCTCATGATAATATACCATAAAATTGTGCTAGTCAATCGGATGCCATATCTATCTAATGTTCAAAATAAGCCTGCAGTAGCTGTTGTGGCACTGCAAGACCAAATGTTTGTTTTTCATATGCACAAGAAAAATAAAGAATTTATAAAAATAAAAAAAAAATTATATATATATGTAAGATAAATCAGGGCAAAATAAAATTGTAACTAGACAGGATCTCTGATAACTTTTAAACTGAAATTATTAAAGGCTTATTTAAATAAAATGTTAAATACATTTACAGCTTTAAATGTGACCAAAAGATACTAAATTATGTGTTAAGCAGCCAGCCCAATTCACTAGAATAGCATAAGTATTCTACTATTTAAAGTGCACAATTCCTGCACATAATGACTTTGCTTCCTCAGGTACAGTCTTTAGTCTATTGCAATGGCAAGATTAAAGTCCACCAATTTTAAAAGGGAAAGCTTACTTAAATCAGTGGTACTATCCCACTGTACCTGTAGTGCTAGCAGTACAGGTTTTCAGCATGCTTTACCATCATCGTTGAGTCCATTATTAGGATTTGAAATAGTCCAATCACACCAGGAAAATTGATTGTTTTCCTGGCACTGGAGTTTTCCTTTAAGCTACAATGAAACACAAAGCAAAAAACTAAACAATAGATTATGCATGTGAATTAATAGAAGGTTTTTTTTTTCCCTCTCTCTCGACGTTCAGGTTTCTTAAAGATACACAGTTCCTTTTTTAGATATTAGGGATGATGTATCTATAATGTTTTACGGCATACATGAAAACTGCGCTCTTAAGCATGTTTAGAACATATAACTGTAATGTTGATGGTCAGCAGATGAAAAGAAGTAGCTCTGTAGTATGCAGCATTCATATTCTGCTGGAAATAATTAACCCAGTTCCTTTCTAATAACACCTTGAGCAATGAAGGTATTTCCTTCATGTAGCACATGAATTCACAAAATAGCTCCTGCCCTGTGGTTTTTGTAGGGGGTACTTTATTTTTTGATTGCTGTTATTGGTTAATAGTCTAGCTTGTTCTATGGTATTAATGACACTATATACAAACATGTACTATAGTGATAAACCCACTGTTTAAGTGATTCCCCCTCCCCCACTATATTTGGATCTATACAATGTGCAGCACTGACCCAGGAAGCACCTCTAGTGGCCGTCGGGAGGTGTTCCTAGGCAGTAATGTAAACACTTCCTTTTTTCTGAATGTTTACATTAAAAAGCCTGCAGGGACATGCTATAGGCACCAGAACCATTACATTAAGCTGTAGTTGTTCTGGTGACTATAGGGTCCCTTTAATGTTATTGTGTACTTACGAATCCATAGACCTCAGCTATTTCCTGACTTTACTTTTGTATGTTACTTATCAAAGTACCGTTTGCATTATAAGCACAACTACCCAAAGGATCTGTAATCCATTCGGGTCACGTTTTCTACTTCTCCTTATCACTTCTAGACTGTATGTACCATAGGTCTCGACATATACACTGCATGTTGGATCACATTCTAGTCCTGACGATTCATTTAGGAAAGGTAAGATGGGAAGTTAGAGAGGTTGTTTCACTGGGGTACAATTTTGTAACAGTCACTATTGGCCCATAAATTATATGAGAATAGTTTGTAATTAAATTTTGTTTCACTATTTTTTCAGTTTTATATTTGGACCTATACAGTCCTTTTGTGAAATTCTCTATGAATGTCATTTAAAAAAACATAGGTCACATCTACAAAAGTAATCAATAATTAATCGTTCAAAGCCTATGCATTTAAGTCAGATGTGATTTACTTTCAATTTTTAACATGATTTTTTTTTATTTTTTTTTGTTGGCTTCTTATAATTTGTATGCAGAAAATAAAGTTATTGTTTGTCTAATTCAGTGCATGCAATTGAATCAGTGTTAATGTATATAAACAAACCCATTCACCAGAGTTTAATTGGATGCAGCTGGTATTTAATCAGCCAATTTTCCTCACCTGCTTCTGGTTGGTGAGCTCACAGTGGGGTACAGCAGTAAAAGTGCACTACTGACCTGCGATCTAAGCCTTTCTCTGGAAAATAGAGCAGAGAAAGAGGTTAGTCTACTAAGGATGTAAGCTAGCTGCATCTCAACCTTCATTAGAGATACATTTTCTCTTAACATATTTTATGTAAACAATCTATTTGGTTCCATTAGTTACTCTTGGACAGGGATGGGCAGCCTTTGGCACTCCGGATGTTGTAGACTGCATCTCCCATAATGCTGGCAAAGCATCATGGGATGTGTAGTCCAAAACATCTGGAGTGCCGAAGGTTGCCTATATCTGCTCTAGGAGAAC